TGGGAAATTTTGAATTACGGCTGGTGGCATTCTTTTATATGGATACAAAACAAACGGTGGTACATCAGTACCATCAGCAGAGAATGTACATAGGACTGTGATTGATTCTTTTTCTTTCCCACTTGCGATTTCGTATGTATTTTTATAATTTTTGGGCCCCAAAATCAGCCCCGTTTTAAGACAAGTCATGACGCCAGTTTCATCTGAATTGAAAATACGAGTCGGGTCATCTTTAATGTCTAAGGCATTTTCTTCCTCTAAAAACTTGTTCAATTCAGTAAACCAATTTCTGATGGCCTCTTCTGTAACCGCTGCCCTAGCTTTTGATATTATTTCAGCGTTTCTTTTAGTTACTTCGGGATGTCTTCGCAAAAACAAAGTAAGCCATTTTTTCCCCGGTCGGCCTTTTGTAAATTTATTCTCCCTCTCATTTTGTTTCAAGAATATTTCCACAGTATCATAAACTTCTTCCGGGTGCATTGGAAACCCAAGTTTAGCTTTTGTTAAAATCCAGTCTGCTAGCTTGTTTTCTTCGTCGAAAGTTAGTTGTGTTAATGGACCCATTTTTCGTTGCCATGGTACTTTATTATTTAATTTATTACTTAACGTTGATTTGGGTATGTCGTATATTTTGCTGGCTTTATTAATAGACAAATCGTTATTTGTTATACGGGTAAGAGCCTCCTCTAACTGTTGTTGAGTATAACGGAATCTTGCGTATTTCTTTTTAGTAGATTCCATTATTTTTGAACTAAAAAAAAAAGAGAAATTGAAGTTAAAGCGTCTGAATATTTTTTGTAACTAATTACTGAGATAAAACTAAATATCACTGCTTGAAATATAACAAAACATTAATAGTTTATTTATTCATTCATTGGATTTTAAAAACCAGTAAATGAACGTAGCAATAATACTATAGTTCATTCATTGGTTTTTGAAAACCAGTAAATGAACGTAGCAACAATACTATAGTTCATTCATTAGATTTAAAAACTAGTAAATGAACACTAGGGTGTTCGAATACTGGCCTAAAGGTAGACAATCAATAATTAAACCTTTCTACAAAAAATAAACCAATTCTGAGAACAGAAACATGCAAAATTAGCCAAAAGTAACAAAACAGACCAGAACCAGTGAATGAACACTCGTTCATTTACTAGAACTTTCTCACTTTCATGATCTAGTAATCGAACACCCCTTTATTTTTATTAAACACATGAAATTATAAACAAGTTGTTTTCTAATGAATAAAATAATCATTGTTCTATCTTATTATGCAGTTTTCTTCACACTGTCACTCATATAACGTGAACAACGCTAATACCAAAATGCGCTGTCTTACCTGAGTCCTAAATTCTCGCTCATACAATCACGAAACACAACACAACACGTCCACTTTAAGCAGTCGCCATTTTGTAACTACGGGTCGCTGGCAAATGTTTGTGTGACCAGTTTACGTAAAAAAAATTAGACCACTCGAAAAAAAAATACAGTGTTTGGTAGAAATGTTTACTTTTCTTATTATATTGAAAAAACTCACTTTTGTTCATTCACTGGGGGGTGTTCATTCATTGGTGCACTTACCCTAGATAACAATTGGCATACACAATTTACACACATAGACGCAGCACTCGGCGCGGGCTTATCGACGCGGGCGCGGGGAAGGAGGGTGGGAAGGCTACAGAAGTGAGCGAGCCAAACGCGTACGCCGGCCATTCGCCAGTCAAGAAAAAGAACATATACGAGTTACTTGATTATAAACCGATTCCGATTCTTTTTCATTTTACACCGTCTTTCTTACTGTAATTTCTTATGTTTATTATTAAAGCTACATTTTCGTAAAAGGTTGCTAGATATTGTCACAGCATATTGTCGTATTAATATTCGTCTATAAGTAGGTTTAATTAAGTATTGTTATTTTGTTGCATTAAGGTTGTTAGAAAGGTATTGTCACAGCATATTGTCGTATTGAAGTTAATTTGGAAATAGGTTAATTATATATTGGTATTTTATTGTATTAAGGTTAACAGATAAGTATTGTCACAGCATTTTGTCATATTAATGTTCATTTATAAATAGGTTTAATTAGGTATTGGTATTTTGTTTTTTGTAATAAGGTTATTAGGAACTATCAAAGCATATTTAACCTTTTGAGCGCCAAAGTCGTCTATACGTGACCAGCACCCGCGTGCCCTGAGCGCCAACGACGTCTATAGATGACAAAAAAACCCGGCCCACAAAAATATGAAATATAGACATTGGAAAATTATTACTGGTATTTTAATTCTACACCCCTCAAAAAAGAATAACCCAGCAACATGTGAGTATAAAAAACAAGTCTTCTAGAGCCACAAGTACTAACAAACATTGAACTAAAAAAAATGGATTTTTATCTAAGCAAATACTATGTCCAGCACGCCAAAGTCGTCTATGTTAGACCGCTAGTGTTGTAATGCGTTAGCCATAAATTTATTGAAAACTATTCAAAATTAAGCTCAAACGTGTTATTTTTTTCTATTATTATTGATATTTAAATAAAACAAAAGGTTAGAAATATAAAACTATAATTAGCTACATGAATTAAAAAAAAAAATTAACAAATTATCTTCGCATAATAAATCTAATATCTCAACTCTGGCGCATCCTTAGCGCGACATCGAAAATCAGTTCACTGGGCGCCGTGGTCAAGTATAGACGACACACTGATGACGTCATAAGCGATTAGCGGGAAAATTAGTGCAGTGCAACATGAACGATTCCTGAGAACTCATTCGGATTTTGGAAAGCGTCGACGATGATGAATTTTCGGAAATTTAAAATTAACGTGAAACCAAAGTTTTTCGTTTTCGATTAACTCTACCTCAATGAGGTAGGAATACACTTTATAGTCTTTTTACGGTTAATTTCTTTTTTATAGCATAGGGTAATAAACGAGCACACAGTCCACCTGATGGTAAGTGGTTGCTGTGGCCCATAGACATTTACATCTATCCTCGATTACGAATCAAAATGCAGATGCGCTCTCACCCGTGAGGACTTAGATGGAATGCCTCGTTTCCAGTAAAGAGGGTCTCCGGTTCTCTACACTTACCATACGAAACACAGCAGCATTAAGCTACTATTTGATGCCGATATTCCGTGAGAGCGTGGTTCTTCCCCGGTTGAGCCGACCCATTCGTGCTATAACTACTAACTCCCGTAATATAACTGCAGCATGGCTCTACCACGTTAGAAAATTTGCTTTGGCCAGCTAAACATTTATGTTTTATTATTCCATAAGATTTTTATTATTTTAAGACTAATATTACCTATAATTTATTAATTATTTTTAATTGTTGTTTTCTATATTAAGTACTGATTGAGTTAAAGACCAAGATTTTAATATTTTATGACTAGACCTAGTGCAAATAATTATTTACAATTGTTGAATAATTATGTACCCTTTGTTGATTTCTGTAATAAGTACTGATTATTTTATTCCATGACCAAAATTTTAATATTATAAGACTGATTTTTCTAGTGCGAACAATTACCTATATACAGTTGTTGATTAGTGAATAATTACGTACCTTTTTCTGTTTTAATAATATAAAATTACAAATAATAAATGTGTTTTCTTTACTTAAGGTATGAAGAGCAATTTTCATTTTGTGTTGTGCGATTTTCTTTCTCAATCTCAAAATCATTTAGCGACATCAGTATCATATGAAACCCCCCTTTATCATAAGAGCGTAAGACTTTTCTTCTGTGATTCACTTGGCCTACGCCTTGCCATAAAATATTTTGAATAGATGTCTGTATATTTTGGTTACATCGATTTTGAAATCGATACACAACTAGCGACACGGCTACATCTCTAAGAAAGTTTCAAAAAGAAAGGTCAGCTACGCCGTTGTCGTCCAGTCGTGACAGTGACGTCATCACGACGGAGAGTAGTGTTGTGGTTTACTACTATTTTATTGTTATTGTTTGTTTTTTATTTATGTACAAAGTACATATATAAAAAGAGTGGAAGACAGCACAAGATTAAATAAAACATACCCGATTATAAAGACTCATTTATTGTATAAAAAACCAACAAAAACAAGTTATTTTGTGTTATCGACATATCAACTCTTGGCAGCACTGTTTTTTTCGTAGGTATTTTTGTTTACTTGTCGCTTTGGCGTACAGGACACGGTAGTGAGTTTTTGGCGTGGCGCTCAAAAGGTTACGTTCATTTATGAATAGGTTTAATTAGGTATTGGTGTTTTGTTGCATTAAGGTTGTTAGATAGGTAATGTCATTGGTACCTATTTTGTTACATTAGGGTTGTTAGATAGGTATTGTCACAGAATATTATTGTATTAAAATTAATTTGGAAATAGGTTAATTATTTTTGGTATTTCGTTGTATTAAGGTTGTTACTTAGGTATTGTCACATCACATTGTATTTAAGTTAATTTGTAAATAGGATTAATTAGGTTATTGGTATTTTGTTTATTGTATTAATGTTGTTACATAGGTATTGTCACACCATATTTTCGTATTAAAGCGTATTTCCAGGAATTCTCGTATTATTATTGCTAGGTACATTGTCGTATTTCCTTGGCTGACACCGACTCCAAAAATGACAATAATTGTAGATTATATTATCCTAATAATTTGATTGTCTTTTAAGCAGTCTACACATATATTTGAAAATTTTTGCTTAGTTGAACTCTAAAAAATATTTTGATAATTGTTTGTGAATCATAGATATGTGTTGAGTTAGATGTGAAGTTTAAGTCGGTACCTACCTTCTTGCGTGGTAAACGCATAGATCGTACATTGAGTAGAAAAAAATAAGTTGATTGTAAGTTGTAGATACAAGAATACGCAATTATTTTTAAAATTTTTAGTGCATTTATTGTTTTAAAATATTTTGTTTTGAAGTCGGTATTCTATTTTGTTAAAATTTTTGTTTATTTTTCTATTTTTAGTGATTCTGAAGTTCGATAACTGATTTTATTTGTTTGAAAATGGGTAGACCTAGCAAACGCGCTGCTCATATGAGACAGCACCGTTTAAATGAGACAAACGAAGAAAGGGAGAAACGTCTATCTCAAAAGAGGAAATCTACCTCAATTGACATTTCAAAAGAGACTTGTGAAGAGCGCAAAAATAGGCTTTCAATAATGCGGGCTTACATGAAAAAAGTTTTGTACAGGGAAAATATCGAAAAACGTACTCTCCGTCTCGGCCTGATCCACGATCGCCTATCGAATGAGACGGAAGAACAACGTGCCCACCGCCTCGGCGTGATCCACAATCGTCTATTGAATGAGACGCAAGAGCAATGTGCCCACCGCCTTGGCATGATCCACGATCGTCTATCAAATCAGACGCAAGAGCAACGTGCTCACCGCCTTAGCATGATCCACGATCGTCTATCGAACGAGACGCAAGAGCAACGTGCCCACCGCCTTGGCATGATCCACGATCGTCTATCGAATGAGACGCAAGAGCAACGTGCTCACCGCCTTAGCATGATCCACGATCGTCTATCGAACGAGACGCAAGAGCAACGTGCCCACCGCCTTGGCATGATCCACGATCGTCTATCGAATGAGACGCAAGAGCAACGTGCTCACCGCCTTAGCATGATCCACGATCGTCTATCGAACGAGACGGAAGAGCAACGTGCTCACCGCCTCGGTGTGATCCACGATCGTCTATCGAACGAGACGGAAGAGCAACGTGCTCACCGCCTCGGTGTGATCCACGATCGTCTGTCGAACGAGACGGAAGAGCAACGTGCTCACCGCCTCGGTGTGATCCACGATCGTCTATCGAATGAGACGGAAGCGCAACGTGCCCACCGCCTCGGCGTCATCCACGATCGTCTATCGAACGAGACAGAAGAGCAACGTGCTCACCGCCTCGGTGTGATCCACGATCGTCTATCGAATGAGACGGAAGAGCAACGTGCCCACCGACTCGGATTGATTCGCGATCGCTTATTAAACGAAACACCTGAAACTCGTTCAGATCGACTTAGTAGAATGCAACAAGCTAATCAAGCTTGTAGGGACATCACAAATCAACAATCTTTTGAAGCGGCTATTAATATTTTTGCTGATGTACCATGCGCCGTTTGTAAAAGAAGCCTTTATCCTAAACAGCGTTCCAATTTACGAGCAAATATGTATAGTATACTATTACCTGAAGAACTGGTTGCTTTAGGTACAATAACTACGTGCTCTCGATGTAGCAATAATATTAGGAAAAGAAAAATTCCAACAACTGCATATTGGAATAAAATGATGCCCGCAGAAGTACCGCCTGAATTAGTCAATTTGACGAGCGTTGAAGAACGATTTTTAAGCCGCATCGTACCGTTTTTAAAGATTGTAAAACTTAATAACCGGTTCAGTCAAAATTGGTGTAAAGGGCAGGTCATTCTATTTGCAAAGGATGTTGTGGAAATTGCTGAACAGTTACCACTGACACCAAATCAAGCTGGTTTAGTTTTGGTAGTGGAAAGTCTCGAGAACCTTTCATGTTCTAAAGAATTCGTCGTGGATATGCAAAGACTGAATCGAGCATTTACTTGGTTAATTTCCAATAACCATCTTTACAGCGATGTTCAGGTACATTTTGAAACTACTTTAAATATTCCTCATATATTACAAATAGCTGAAAATTCTATTCCTGAACAGGATGGCGTTGCTTCTGAAACTTTATCACAACATTATATCACTTTAAATGACAACAAGGCAATATTACGCGGATCATTTAATCAAGGTGATTTACGATTTAATTTATCTCGGGGTAAGCAATGTACTGGGATAGCGGCTGTTGCTTGTGCAGCATTTAGTGTATTAGATCCAAACAAGTGGGCCAAAAGTGATATTGATTACATTGTAATTATTGGCGATAAATACTATAATGACTGCATCGCTGCTAGAGATAATCCTGCGCCCGGCGAAGTAAATCCTGAGTACCTTGCTGTTTCAGATCTTAGTCCAAGACTTATATATAATAGACAAAATTTAGTGATCACAGTACTTGAGGAAACCAATCATAATGGCCACATAGACAATGATAATACTTCCGATGGATTTCCTAATTTAAAAAATGCATTATTAAGTTTTTTCAGAGAACACTCCAATGGGATACTTACAGCAAACGCCATATCGATAGCAGTGCATTGCAGAACTTTAGGTGACAATCAAACTTACTTTTTGTTTGATTCCCATGCAAGGGGTCCCAAGGGGGCTTCCGCTCCCATAAATGGTACCGCTTGTTGCATGCGATTTAGTGAACTGGATGATTTGCATGCTATTATACGCCAATATTGGAACAATCGTCAAGGTTAGAGAGTCCAACATTTACACCAAACGATTCCCTCCAACCGATAATACAAACAGCTCGAGACTCCCAAATACAAACGATTACGCCAATATTGGAACATTCGTCAAGGTTAGAGAGTCCAACATTTACACCAAACTATTCCCTCCAACCAATAATACAAACAAGTAATACCCTCCAAACAACAACACAAGTCATTCAGTCTATCCAAAAAACAGTTCCGGTAAAATCAACCCATTTTCAGTTGCCATTACCAGTCCATAACTCCTTAAGCACCATTTATATCGAATCAACAGGTATGCTCCAAAATATAGACGATAACGTACCTAATTTAGAAAATGTTGTTAATATGAATAGCTCTTCAACCGATGATACAATGAGATTGGCCGCAATCACAAGGAAAACTGCACCTCCCTTGAATTTGGAACGTGAACGCCGTATGGAGGAATTATGTTGGTATTTTCTTTTTCCAAATGGCAGGAATGGCTTTGGCGAGGAAAGAGAAAATGCGTGTACCCCCCTTGATTACTTTCAAAACCGGGTAATGAGTATTGACAAGAGGTTCAACAGAAATGATTATTTATTTTATGCTCTATCCATTGTTGAATATTTTCGTGCAAAATCAAGCGTATCTGTGTCATGTAGGATGCGACAAGGTCATGGAGAGCAAACACCACAGGGACTTGTAGATAATATGCATCTCACTATGAGAAATATTCGAGGATCGGCATCATATTGGCAGAAATGTTGCTCTGAATTGATTGCCATGGTTAGAACTTTAGGGCCTCCCACATGGTTTTTAACATTTTCCTGCAATGATTTAAATTGGCCAGACATGATAAAAGCCTTGCTTATCGCTGATGGACGTGATATCGATGACGTCGATCGCCTGTCATTCCCGGAGCGCTTGAACCTAGTGCAAAAACATCCGGTAGTGTTAGCACGACAGTTCACAGTACGTGTTAACGCTCTCATGCGATTCTTAAAGAGAAATAAAGATTGCTTGGGTGGTCTTATTGAAGATTTTTGGTACCGAGTGGAGTTTCAAAACCGCGGTAGCCCACATCTGCATATGTTAGTCTGGTGTAGTAATGTTCCGAATTTCACCACTCCAGAAGGAGTTGCTGTAATTAAAAGGGTGGTTTCATGTTCATTAACTCCTAATGACCTTGTGTTGCGCAAATTAGTTGAGGATTTACAGATTCATAAACACACTGCGACATGCAAAAAAAATCGCCAAACTGATGGTTGTCGATTTGATTTTCCAAAGCCAGCAAGTGTTAACACCGTTTGTCTTGGACCAGATGAAGCACTTGCTAACAATGGACGATTTTGTATATTGAAACGAACCTCAAATGAAACCATGGTAAACAATTACAATGCAGTTCTTTTAAATCTATGGAAGGGAAATATTGACGTGCAACCGTGTGGTAATGTCACCGCTATGGCCTACTACGTCGCAAAATATGCCAGTAAATGCGAACCACATGACACAGGTGATGTAATTCGAGAAGCTATTTCGAATGCTAAGAGACAAGGTGGTGATGTTTGGAAACAATTGTTTTCAATATCAATGACTATTTTAAATAAACGCTTGGTGAGTGCGCCCGAATGCGCTTACAGATTATGCCATTTGCCATTGAAAATGTCGTCGCGAAAGACTGTTTTTGTGAATAGTTGCAGGCCGGAGGAACGTTACAGACTCCTGAGATTTGATAGTGATGAAACCAGTATTTACAATAATATTTTTGATCGTTATGTATTACGCCCAAACGAGCTGGAGAATTTAAGCCTTGCGGCCGTCCGTTTTGAAACCGTCTCTAACACGACATGGTCAGAGGACAATGGGGATGCGGAACTGAGAGACGAAGATATTACGCCAGAGAGGTATATCAGATTGCAGGACAATACGAGATTGCGTGTAAGAAATAGACCGGCAGTGTTACGTACCCGCTATTATACAATTAATAGTGACAAAGAAGCCTATTATTACGGTTTATTAGTATGCCATATACCATTTCGTAATGAAGGCGAATTACTTTTCGAAAATGAAACCGCTGAAGACTGTTTTATAAGACGAAAAGGGGATCTTCGCCCGTTGCAGGGTGACATCAGTTCAGAACAAATTGGTCATGCCGAATTAATTATTCAACAAGCTGTTGCGCAAGCTACCGCGCTTAATGCTGCGCGTGAAACCGATATAGGCAATGCTTCCATGTTATGTGTTGGTGAAAAAATTTTACATGACGATGATAACTTTTGTGAAGACATGGAAGAACGAGCCGTCATATCAGATGAATTGTTCCTAGGAAGCATTCGAGGATTAAATATCCAACAGAAGGAATTATTTCAGAAAGTTTCAACGGCAATCGAAAACGATTTGCATGGACAAGAAAGCCAGCTGTTACTTTTTATCACGGGCGGTGCAGGCAGTGGTAAATCATTTCTGCTGAAATTAATCGTGGAGCACATTAAGCGTTGTTACGCACCAACAGTAGATATACTGCTGAAGCCTAAATTTGTGAAAGTTGGGTCGTTAACCGGGGTTGCCGCTCGTCAAATTTTTTGTGAATTTGCGGATGGAGTCGCCGTTCGTATCTTTCCCACGGTCAGGCAAGTCGACGATTACAACGACAAAATAACCAAGGAAAATGCAAAGCTGCACCGAACTTATTTAATCAACGCAGTGGATGAGTCGCGTGGAGTAGCGACATATGGTAGAAAACCACCAGAGAACGTGATTCCCAAAGACGTCAATAACTGTGGTGGTCTTCTGCCATCGATAAGAATTAGCGTCGAATCTCGAGTGATGTTGAGACGCAATATCTCCGTCTCTGAAGGGCTAGTAAATGGAGCTATGGGTATAATAAAAAAAATCAAATGGCCGGCCTTGAGGAGAGATCAACTGGAGGATGGAGAGCTACCAGAAGCCGTGTACGTTAAATTTGATGACGAAACTATCGGTCGCAGGCTAAAAGATAGTAATGGTTGCGTACCCATACCTCCATCAAGTACTACATTTCAGGCAGTAAGCGGTTACGGAGATGTGGAGCGCCGTATGCTGCCTCTAATATTAAGCTGGGCAGTTACAGTTCACAAACTACAGGGTACGACCCTCGAAAGAGCTGTGATTGACCTTGGAAAGAAAAACTTCGCAAAAGGGCAAATATATGTGGCACTAAGTCGTGTTAAAAGTTTGGAAGGCATAGCTTTATCAGATTTGGACGCCAACAAATTATTAAATAAACCACACGACGACAAGTCGTTGAAAGAAATGACGAGGTTACGAAATCTGTCTTCCGACAATGAAGACCACGCATAATACTCGTACACCTCAAGTAGCGCAATTAGAATGAAAGATATACCGTTAAAATCATCAATCATTATCAATGGCTAGGATGCTATGTTTTATTCCGGAGTTCCGGAGCCTAATAACTTCATTGTCAGATCAAAAGTTGTATCATAGAAATAATTTTGTTTTTAGCTTTTTAGTGTGTACCCTTTCGAGTGTTATAGTTCCGTTTTATTTCGCCGAAGATCTTAATTCGGACATCACCAAATTATAATAAAAATGGGACCACCTCGAAATACTATGAATCGAAATACGATGCTCTTCTCAACCACCCTTTACCGTTTTTCCGTTTACCGTTCGACAAGTAATAAATATAAGTATAAAATAAAAAAATCGGCAGATGAGAACATCGTCAATGCAATCGAAGTCAATTATATATGCATTACTAAGGATAACTCAAAAAGTACTGGGAAAACTTGGATCAAATTTATACGGGACCACACGAGAAGTACCAGCTTTCAAATAAAAAAAGAATCATCGAAATCGGTTCACCAAGAAAAAAAAATCGGCAGATGAGAATACCGTCAATGCAATCGAAGTCAATTATATATGCATTATTAAGGATAACTGAAAAACTGCTGGTCAAACTTGAATCAAATTTATATGGGACCACACGAGAAGTACCAGCTTTCAAATAAAAAAAGAATCATCGAAATCGGTTCACCCAGAAAAAAGTTCTGAGGTAACACACATTAAAAAAAAAACTAAAAAAAAACATACAGTCGAATTGAGTACCGGCTCCTTTTTGAAGTCGGTAGAAAATACAAAATCTTATTACTTATTATCTATAAAATAGGAGCGAAACATCTCATCCACTAACATATCGTTGTACAATGTGTTCTCTGTAAATATACTCGTAAAACTATGCATTGAACATCTCTGAAACTTATATAGCAAATACATTAAGCAATATTCGCCACAAACTGAAGTCCTATCAACATTCCAGTTCCATCTTTTAAACACATTACCTAATTTTGTTAAAATTTTTATTTATAAAATACAAAATCTTATTACATATTATCTATAAAATAGGAGCGAAACATCTCATCCACTAAAATATCGTTGTACAGTGTGTTCTCTGTAAATATACTCGTAAAACTATGCATTGAACATCCCTGAAACTTATATAGCAAATACATTAAGCAATATTCGCCACAAACTGAAGTCCTATCAACATTCCAGTTCCATCTTTTAAACACATTACCTAATTTTGTTAAAATTTTTATTTATAAAATACAAAATCTTATTACTTATTATCTATAAAATAGGAGCGAAACATCTCATCCACTAACATATCGTTGTACAATGTGTTCTCAGTAAATATACTCGTAAAACTATGCATTGAACATCCCTGAAACTTATATAGCAAATACATTAAGCAATATTCGCCACAAACTGAAGTCCTATCAACATTCCAGTTCCATCTTTTACAATTTCGTACAGGTGCCCGTCCATATGAATCAAAATATTCACCGACGTCATTCGTATCGATATATAAAGCTACCCAATGTGACCCTGGTTTATCATCTGTACCCAAATTGCATATTACCTAGTCAGGTCATAAATTCTATCACATGTTTAATGTAAAATAATTGAAACAAGTTTATTCATTATGTAACCATTTATATACCAAAATGAACTTAACAAAACATAGATTCTTATGACACTATAGTTTATTCAAAATGACCTCCGTAATTTTGAATACAGGCCTTCAATCTGCGCGGCCAGTCGTCTATCTCACCACGAACGAGGTCCATGTCATATCGGCGGCTGCCTTAATTAAAGATGTCTTGAGTGACTCGAAATTGGGATGAGGCTTTGAGCACGCCTTTTCCTCCAAGTGTTCCATATCTTGTAATCTAACGGATTCAAATCTGGACTGGTCTTTGTGTCGGATGAAGTCGATTTCACGCGCCGCCAGCCAGTCTTTTTTTTTTTGTTTTTAAAGAACGTTACCTCCACACTAGGTTTTTCTCCTGTATCGTGGGGGCAGTTTACAAACACAAATTTCACAAGGACAAACATCCAAACTCGGAACAATTACTTGTAGGTCGTACAAATACTTGTTCCGTGCGGGATTCGAACCCGCGACCCCCAAGCGCAGCCACTCATTGCTAAGCCACTACGCCACGGAGCTGTCAAAAGTCTTGTGTGCTCTTCGCTCTATGAGCTGACACCGAATCTTGTTGGAATACCCAGTGCCTGTTATTGAACATGGTATGAGAAACAGGTTACACAAGGTTCGTCAGGACTGTATTTTGATACACAACTGCATTCGTTTTTAACCTTTCTCACAAAAATGTACCTCTGTTAAGCCCCAATAAGAAACTCCCAACCATACCATGAGCGAGGATGGAAAATGACCTCGTTGGACACGCGGAATACGGTTGCTCGCTTCTTCACTACTGTGTGCGTACACCTTATCATTTTGTTTATTGTAGCTCTCTTCTACGGTAAAAAATTTTTTATCCGAAAAAAGAATTTCCCGATATTTTTTCCCGCGTACCGCTTCACCAAAGCGCGGCATCTCTTCAGTCTCAGATCCATTAGACGAGCATTCAAACGATGTCCTGTTTTTCTTCGATATGCCCGAAGCCCTAAGTCTTCATTTAACGCCGTGGTTCTGCTTAACCCCATCTGAAGGGCCAACAGTTTCTGCTTACGTTTGGGATTTCTTTGAATTCGCACCTTTACAGCTTTTATCACTGCTGGAGTCCTAACAAATCGAGGGCGACCACTTCTTGACCTGTCATCTACACTAGAGTCTTCATTGTATCGTTTCATGGTACGATAAACGAATCTTTTGGTTATATTCAAATTTTCCAGTATATCAAAAAATTTAATTGGCGCGTAATCGCAACTGCAACACGGTTTTTTTTAAGCGACGACTCCATATGTAAAAATGAGTAAAATTCTAAAAAGTATACAGTTTTATTTTCATGAACAATTCGAATTCAATAAACTTTTTTTGTGGCCAGCATTCTAAAAGAAAAGTTTTTACTGTGTGACAATACTTATGACCTGACTAGGTATATACGTTGGTACGTGGGTGTGCATGGGCAGTCTGTTAGCAGCATAAACATTATTTTCTAGACTGGTGTGAATCTTTTTCAGATGTTGTTGTACATCTAGTGTATCCATGATATTACTGCTATTAGTAGATTACTACAGTACAATCTACTCAATGACTAACATAGGAATGATCAATTATGTGATTTCTAAATATTAAATTGCATTTTTTCTGTTATACAAAACGTATTTGAGTCATCAATACACTGAATAAGACGCAACACGAAGAATGTGAGATAAGGTTGTTGACGCATAAAGTTATTATCAATTCTACTGTAGAAATTCTTTAGATTAGAATTATTACTTACTGGTACTATATGAGACCAAGCAACTGCAGTCATGGAGTTAGTGTATGGTCGTTTGACCGCAGTGTATCTATCAATAATACATTTGCGTTACTTCAACGCATCAAAGGCCATAGATGTAAGTGTTTAATCTATTGACAAACTTACTTTTCTTTCTGTTATTTCTTACGTGTGTATGATTTGAACGACAGGCCTGTTGGTCTAGTGGTTAGTGACCCTGACTGTTATGCCGGAGGTCGTGGGTTCGATTCCCACCCAGGACAAATGTTTGTGTGATGAGCACGATCATTTGTTCTGTGTCTGGGTGTAATTTATCTATAATATTTATGTATTTAGAAATATATAAGTATGTTTATCAGTTGTCCAGTACCCATAACACAAGCTCTGCTTAGCTTGGGACTAGATGGCGTTGTGTGATAGTTGTGGAATATTATTATTATTATTATTATTATTTAGTGTTAACAAATTATATTTAAATATTTTGTGTGTGTATATGATTAAGCCGTGGTAGCTCAGATGGTTAGCGCAAGCTGTAAATTTTACAGTACGTAACGCGGGTTCGATCCCCGCCGACACCAATTAAATTGTTAATTGCAATTTTAAGTGTTTATTCTATTGACACACTTACTTTTCTTTCTGTTATTTTCTTACGTGTGTATGATTTAGTGTTAACAAATTATATTTAAATATTGTGTGTGTATATGATTAAGCCGTGGTAGCTCAGATGGTTAGCGCAAGCTGTAAATTTTACAGTACGTAACGCGGGTTCGATCCCCGCCGACACCAATTAAATTGTTAATTGCAATTTTAAGTGTTTATTCTATTGACACACTTACTTTTCTTTCTGTTATTTTCTTACGTGTGTATGATTTAGTGTTAACAAATTATATTTAAATATTGTGTGTGTGTATATGATTAAGCCGTGGTAGCTCAGATGGTTAGCGCAAGCTGTAAATTTTACAGTATGTAACGCGGGTTCGATCCCCGCCGACACCACTTAAATTGTTAATTGCAATTTTAAGTGCTGATTTACCACGTGCTCGGCGGTGAAGGAAAACATCGTGAGGAAACCTGCATGTCTGAGAAAATTTCGAAGGCATGTGAAGTTCGCCAACACGCATTGAGACCGCGCCGTGGACATTTCCTAGCCATAAATACAAAGACAATAGCAGAAAGTAAAAAGTTAAAAAATACTTTTTTAACAATGACAGTCATTAGTTGATCATTAGTAAATGTGATTCAGTTTTCTTAAATTACAGGAAGAAAAGAGCAGAAGGAAGAAATGGGGTGATGGGAAGTAATGAAGAATGAATTGTTATGTGAAGTTTGTTGGAACAAACATATTTTAGTCACGTGTAAATACTTTTAACATTTTGGTTCAAAATGACACAAAATCTAAAAAAATGTTAGATACATCATCGACATGGACGGATTTTACATTACATATCCCCATAAACATTTTCAATGTAGAGAAATGGCTATTCTAGACGTAAAACTATCTAATAAAAATGATTCGTTTATCGATCATTATTTGTTTCAGCCAAGTTATCCTTTCAATTATTTGTCGCCAAAAGACAAAAAAACTGTTCGTTATTG